AGTACAGTGAATAGTGTACTTAGAAATAATTAACATAAAGTATTATTTAAAATAGAAAACAATTAAAAGCAGTTTGGTTTTTCTTGAGTTTAAAAAAAAAAAAATCTGGAGTCTTCCTTTTATTTCTCCCGGTAGTCTATGCCAAATTGTTCTGGAAGGACTCACCACAGACGGAAAGAAGAGAATTTCCCTCTGTTCAAAATCGTTTGATTTCAGAAAAAGGCCTTTTAAAATTTGAAGTGTCTCAAAAACTTCTCACTGTCCTCTTACAACCAAACCAAACTCACTGCCATTGAGTCGATTCCAACTCATACTGACCTCCTTTGGGTTTCCAAGGCAGTAAATCTTTATGGAAGTAGATTGTCCAGTCTTCCTTCCGCAAAGTGGCTGGTAGGTTTTACTGTCAACCTTCTGGTTAGCAATCAAATGCCTTAGGCACTACACTACCAAAGTCCTTGTCTGGTCTCTAGATATTCCTAAATTTAAAACCTGTACAAAGTCAGTCACCTTGAATGGATACCCTGGTATAATTTTGAACTTAAATATTTGTAAAATCAAGATTACCCATATGTCTTGTTAGGAGCGTGCTTGTTTTACCATGCATGGTTCCAAAATATGCCTATTTGTGAATAAATTATGATGTAAACATTTAGCATTATGTATTGACTCCAGTTATCTGAAAACTTTCTTGTTGAGAACTACTCAAAACCTCTTCTAACTTGGGTGCAAAATTATTCAGAAAATGAATTAAAGTTTTAGAATAAATCTCTTGATTTTTCTTTTTAAGCACATCACATTAGACAGAAGATTTCCAACTTTTTTCATTATTCTTGGAGTTGGGTAAAGATTCTAGATTATTCTCCAACTTTTTCTGGAGATAAAATTTCTGGGTAAAACTTAAATTTATGAGTTCACAATAAATGAGATATCAAAACATGAAACCTCTTTGGTGAGGGATGGAGTATAGCTTTTGGAATGGGGTAGAGTGCAAGACGTTTTTCAGTTTCAAATACATTCTTGATTGTTAATTCTTACAAGGGATTAGAATGTTAAATGCATCAGAAAAATTACTAAATTTGAATCTTTAGAAAACAATAGAATGCATTTTCATTTTGAGGGGCTACCAAAGGAGGACCAATTTAGTAATAATCAAGCCATATAATGTTTCGTTGAATTTGTCGATTTACACCTTAATGGATTTAATAAACTCCTTGTAGATGCTGAAGGAGTGGCACTCATGCTGGGAGGGTTTGGGAGGTGAACTCCTGAAAGTGCCTTTCAATTTTCTGTAGGTTGTTAGTTACTATCCTTACATCTCCCATATAGCCACTGATTTTTTTTTTTTTAAAGGCAAAATAAAACAGACCGGAAACAGAATTTAGGGATTCTTGGTTCATATATCAGTTATTTAGTTACCTTATCTGGTGCTAAGTTGTACTTCATTGAAATACATCCTTTTGGTCAGTCCCCTCATCTGATTTCTGGGGTTGAACTTTTTTCCCTCCTAAAGGGAGACTCTGACCAACAAAAGTGTGCTTCCCTTGAAATAATATCGATGACAAATAAAAGTAATTCTTTGGGACTGGACTATTATCTTACTAAGCTGCCCTCTTGCACACGGTGCTCTGCTAATCAAGGTCCTCAAACCTTTTATTTTCTAAATATTTTATACAATACAGAGCTTTGTAGATCCACTGTATTTGGATGTCAGTGAGTCCTGCTGAGGTTTTATGATGGTGAGGCTGAAAGTCATTCTGAAGAAAAAGAGAAAATAGTAGGTAGGTAAACCACTGCTATCAAGTCAGTTCTGACTCATAATGATCCAGGTTTCTAAGGCTGGAAATCTTTACGTCTTCTTCTTGTGGAGCAGCTGGTGGGTTTGAACCTCCGACTGTCTGGTTAGCAGCCAAATGCCTTAACCACCACACCACTGTTGTTGTTGTTATGTGCCCTTGAGTTGGACCCGAGTCATAGCGACCCCACCTTGGGTTTCCGAGGCAGTATCACTACGGACCACTCCTCGGAAGGAAGGTTGGGCAATCCTACTTCCGTAGTGATACTGCCTCGAAAACCCAAGGAGGGGTCGCTATGAGTCGGGGCCGACTCGATGGCACATAACAACAACAACAACAACATCACTACGGAAGTAGATTGCCCAGCCTTCCTTCCGAGGAGTGGCTGGTGGGTTTGAACCGCTAGCCTTCTGGTTAGCAGTCAAGTGCTTTAGGCACTATGCTACCAGAGCTCCCACCACACCACTAGAGTTCCTTTATATATGTACATACATACATACATATATATGTATATGTGTATATGTATATATACATGCATATATATGTATATGTATATATATACACACTTACATATGTGCATACATATGTATTTATATATATGTAAATTTGTTCACATTCTATGTCTATACTCATTCAGAAAAAAATAAAATATACTTTAAAATATTTTTTAGGTCCCTGATGATTATTTTGCTCAGCTAAGATAGTTTATGATCAGTAGTTTATCTTGAATGCCTTTCCTTCTAAAACGGTAACATTCCCTTTTTAAATGGCGCTGGCAAAGTTACTGTAAACTCCCCCCGCCCCCAGGCCAACAAGCCTTGTATAACCCAAAACTTTGATAGACGAAATCTAAATTTTATTTAAAGAGAGCTTAGGACTCTGGGCCATGAGCCATTCAACGTAGCGTTTCTCTACTAAGTCTGGTTAGCATGCAAATAATATAAATACAACCAGAAATGTAACAAGGGTATTTAATGCTCATCAAATTTATTTTAAAAATATTGCCGTGGATTCAGAACTCTGAATTCCAACCAGATGTATTTCTGGAGCATTACACAGGTCATATATATTTCACTTTTTTGGTTCAAACCCAGGGGATTGACACGATAATTAGATTGAGAACATCTGCACCAAATCCAAACCATTTCCCCGATCTGTTCCTGAGCCTTCCCCTCGGGAGGGTTTTTTTTTTTTTTTTTTCCTTTTTAAAGCTCTGCACATTTTGTTTGGCTGGCCACCTTTACGGCAATTCTGAGGCCTCGCCTGCTCGCCACCGCACACATAGGAGAGAGGGCAGACGGACCTCCAAGCGTGGGCTGGGGGAGGAATCCTTAGAACAGGCTTTTCCTGGAGATACGAATCGCCGGAGCTGGCAATGCCGTTTCCCGCCCGGAGCCAGGCTCTGGGACAGGGCGTGGCCAGGCGCGGGACTCGGAGAGCGCTGGTGGGCACGTGCGCGGGGACCGGTGGGCCGGAGTGTCGGGGCGCCGCTGCCCTCTACCGGGCGGCGCCGTCGGAGCTGTAGCGCGGCCGCCCGCCGACTGAGCGCTCCTACTCCAGCGCCGCACAGCAAGGCGGCGCAGGGCGGCCTGAGGTCGGGAGTGCCCTGCCTGGCGCGACGTCCCAGCGTCTGGGGCCGGGACTCCAGACACGCCCCCTCCTCCCCATGCCCTACCCACTTGAAGCCCCTCGAGGGAGTCTAGGCTGCTGCAAGGACGCAGAGCGAAACTCCCTTCCAAGATCAGGAGCTGCATGAAACTGAGGCTCCGGTCAGAAGTGTGAGACCTGGGGACACGCGTGATCTCTAATCCTGGGTACTTTCGTTTCGACTTCCTTCATTCAAAATTGACGAATTGACTCCACTGGTCAGTGACAAACACTCAAACCCAGTTGAAAAGCAATTATTTCCCACTTACACATTTTTTTTTTTTTTTTTTTGTATCCCACATAGGTTTATTTACATACATTTTCAAGGTTAAGGAATATGGGGATTTGTTTTAACTATTGCACGTTAAATGAAGTGCGGGTGAGTACAGGACATTATCCTACCGGAAACGCAAACACAAGTCTGTAGAGTCAATTAAAGAAGATAATAGAACATACTTTTGCCAGGTTTCCGTGAAGAAACAAAAAGATAACTTTTTTTTGTTTTGTTTTAAATTATAGCATTTCTGTGAACTTGGGACCTTGCTGTTTTAAATAACTTCCTATGTTTCTACACCCAGAGGAGTAAAAATCGAGGGGTTTGAACCACAGGAAGTTTCCGGGCCGTTCCGCTGAAGCGATGTGGGGGCAAAAATGTGCTCCGATAAGCTGGGTCAGTTCGTGGACTTGGGTCACCCGGACCCCTACGGGATCGCCGTGGCGTGGCATTTCGGTGCTGTGCGGGGACTCCGTGGCCCCGGCGTGGGACACTGACATGTGCAGCTACTTGGGGGTCAGGGTTGATTCCTCGCAACTGCACACGCTCCCCCACCCCCAACATGCAACGCAGTTCAGGGGTGCTCGGTGTCTGAGTCCCCGTTGCTGGGGCGCAGAGGGCGCGGTGTGTGACTTGCCGACGGCCAACGCACCCGGCACACTAGCTGCTGCCTTTAGGCCTGGGCCGTGAGGGGTCTGGGCTCAGGCAGGTGGTTGCGGCAGCTTCGCGCGCTTGGCGTCCTGCAGGAGGGAGAGCGAAACCCGGCGCGGCGCCCGCACGGACGCGCTCACAGTCCCCGCCGACACCTCGCAGCAGGGACCCTGAAGGGTCTGTGCTCCGCGGCCGCCTGAGACACCCCATTCCCCCGGAAACCAGCCCCAGGTGAGCAGGGCCTGGGGCCTCCCGCGGTCTCGGGGCTCCCCTCTCGCTGCCCTCCAGCGCCCCCTCGAGGCCGGGCCGGGCCGCCGCAGGCAGGGGCTGGGGGCCGAGGAGGCGCGGGGGTCGTGCGGAGGTCGCCCGCCCCTCGCCCGCCGGGGGCAGGGGGCAAGTGTCGTGTGCGCGAGGCCCGGCCAGCGGCCGCTGCGCCCTCGGGCTCCGACTCCGGCTCCGGCTCGGCTCGCCATGGCTGCGGCGGCGCTGTGAGGAGGAGTCCGCGCTCCTCCGTGGCGGCGGCGGCGGCCGGCTCCAGGCCGGGTTTTGGCGCCGCCCGCCTGCTGCCTCCTGGCGGCTCCTGAACTCCAGCCCCCTCTCTATCAGCCTCTCACTCCGTCTCAATATGTCTCAAGATGGCGGCCAATGTGGGATCGATGTTTCAATATTGGAAGCGCTTTGATTTACAGCAGCTGCAGGTCAGGCTTCTCCTCTCTCGGCCTCTCGCCCGGGGGTGGGGGCTGCGGGCGGTCGCGGCCTCCCCCGAGGCCCCGGGGCTGCCTCGCCGCCGGGGGGCCGCGGCGGAGGGGAGGAGGGGGGTGCCGGGGAAAGCGGGGCCGACTCGGGGACAAGTCCCTCTCACTCCCCGGCCCCCATTGATAACTCGCTTGATCAGAAATTGATCCTCTTTGTTCAATTCATCGATCAGCCCAAGATGGCGCCGGGAGCCGCCGCCGCCACCGC